TATATATATATATATATATATACAGAAAAATGTTTAAAAATTTCTAATAGACATAAATATCAGCTAATCAATTCATGTTCTAAGATGGATGAACAGTTTAAGCAACATTTTAGTCAAATTAAAAAAAAAACACACACACACAAACTGTCTCTTGCTTTAAGAAGCAACGTCATGAGCTAAAAAAAAGTGATTAAAAAAAAAAGACTGACAAGAATAACAGCTACTGTCTCTAAACTTCATAGGTAGTGTGCTATATCAACAGATAAATATTCTGAGAAGTACTGGATCTCATCAGTCATGTGAAGAATTGCACATCACCTATTATGTCTTTGAAGACAAATACACCGCTTCCTTATGGCAGTGACACCTTCCACCTAAACATAAGCTGTACAATAATGGCTTCAGGCGCAACTTCCAGTGAGTCTGGCCAACTGTGCAGATCTCAATCTCAAATCCTGCAGCTTCTAACCTCCAGACAAAAGAGCAAATATTTAAATGGGTTCTTTATGTGCTATATCCCCTGAGAACGTAAGTAATCATAACTTCCTGTCCTTTGCAGCTCTTAAATTATTTTGCCTAAACGCTAGTCCACCATCCATTTACTCAAGCTCACTATATTATGTGTCATTTTACTCTTGCCTACAAACTCTTGTGAGTATCTGATTTTCCAAGCCCTCTTTCCTCATTATGCGTCCTAGAAACTTCTGTCTCTTCCTGATGTTAAGTATAAGTTTTCATTACCTCTAAAAAATTTGTTGTTGCTCACATGTTTAGTTCAGGATATTCCCAGCATCCTTCGGTAGAATCACATTTCTGTTGCTTCAAGTCTCTTCATCTTTCAGGAGAGTGTTCAGCACCCACTGGTATACCGAAGGATTGATATCATGTAACAGCTTAGCAAAGTTCTTTTTCATAGGTGCACTGAGAAGCAATACCTTATTAGGCATGTGATCATACAGTTTTGGATTGGTTTATTTATTTCAGATTAATTTCAATCTTTTCAGTTAAGGACAGTATTATATGATCTTACTACAGGCTGCCCAGTAAAATAGTTAAATTTCTTTCTGATCTTATTGCTATCATGAATCATGCACAAACTGAACAATGTTCAAAATATTTGCCTGAATATTCAACACAAAGTTGTAAACGTGATAACCAGGAGGAGGCAATAGCTTTGCAGATTGTGTCAAAAAGGAATTTCATTCCAAACTTCAGCAATGAATCAATGTTGATGATAATGGTTTTACAAGTGAGTTAAGAGTATACACTAGTTATAGTAATTCATAACATTCAAATCTGGCGTTTTAGAAGGCCACTGAGATGGACCAATTAAAGCTGGTGTATTTTGTGAGAATAAATTTGCCAAGTTTCTTTTTTTTTTTTTTTTACTGGGCACTGTATTTGTACAATAATCATTTATAAAACATTGCCACAAAGTAGCACTTGGTTTAGCCATCAAGTGATGGTGGGATTAGGGTTTAGCCATCAAGTGATGGTGGGATTAGGGTTTAGCCATCAAGTGATGGTGGGATTAGGGTTTAGCCATCAGGTGATGGTGGGATTAGGGTTTAGCCATCAGGTGATGGTGGGATTAGGGTTTAGCCATCAGGTGATGGCATATATTTGAGTAGAGACAATAATATTTGAGTAGAGACAACAAGAATGAAATGACAACAGAAGATCAGAGTTAGGTTTTAAAATTTTTGTATTAAATAGAAATACGAAATATGAAAGTGTTCATGTACAAAGTTTTTAAGAAATGGAACAAACAAACAAACAAAAAAATAAACAATGCTGTCTAATGTGTAAGAAAAAAAAAAAGATAAAAAAAAGGTAAACATGAGAATATACAATATATTAATGAAATGAAATGAATGACAGCAGTAGTATTTATGAAAATAAATGAATTATAATCTGTAATTAACCATATTTGGTTAATTCTCACAATTACTCATTAACACATACAAACTTATGTACCTAAGTACATAATTTCATTCGCCTTGATATGCTGGAAATTTTGAAATTTTTTTTAATTAAAATTTCAAGTTTTTTTTTTTTTAATTATTTTTTGTAGGAGTTTTGTAAAATCTCCATTGTGAGGGGGCAGAGGTGTAAAGAAAGAAAAAAAAAAAAACTGTAAATATGAAATATTGCCAAATATTCATTAAATAAAGCTAAAGTTTTATTGATAAAAAAAAATTTCTTGTCAATAATTTGAAAAGTTAAGGTGGGTTATTTTACATAATGTATATTGGACTGATGTTGTAGACTTATAAAATTTTGTATTCTTAAAAAGTAATAGAAGAAATTCTTTTAACTACAGCAAAAAAAATCCGAGAAAAATAAAGACTGTTTATTCTCAGAAGCAAGTGGAAAAGTAAAATTAACTACTTACACAATAGACATCCCCCATCAATAATTAAAATTTTATTAGAATTTGAGATATTTTAACAGATTTCAAATATATAAAAAGAACCCAAATTGTACATTTGGATACAAAATGAGAATTAGATTTTTTAAAAAGACATAAAAATTTAAATTTTATTTATTTTTTTTTTATTTTATTTTTTTTTTTATTTACAGTAAAACTCTATAATTAACCTAACATACATTTTGTATGTTCAAGAAAAAAGAGAAAAAAAAAGAAAAAAAAAAGCACTTTAAAGCAGGTTGTCTGCCATTTCTGCTAAATACAAGCTGGTGTACATGAATAGTAAGCCAAAGATGAAGAATTTTGTTAAGAGTTAGAAGAATTAATATCTCATGGCATTAAAAGACCAAAATTTGGCAAGTGATCCAAGAGATTAATTATTTTACAATTTTTTGATTGAGATTTTTTTTTTGGCTGGTTTCTAATTATTTAGCTTAAATTCTTTCTAAAATGAATATCATTACTATTGGGGGGTAAATAAAATTTAAAACTTTAGTTTTGAATATTTTTTTTTTTTTTTTTTTTTGCTGTAGGTAAGAAAAAATTCTGAATTGGGTCCAGAAAGGAATGGAAATTTCAGCCTTAATGGAAAAGAACTCCCCTCTGAGGAAATTACAAAGAATTTTAAGAATGGAAAATAGGAAAGTCACTGGAAAGGAGTTTGCCTTAAAAATCTTTTCAGTTTTGATAAATCTAAAGATATATTTGGAAAGATCAAAGATGAAAAGAAAATAGCAATTTGAATTAAGAAGTTATATGATGAAGTGTATCTTTGATAAATCCCTTATCTTTGAAACTGCATTATTAACAGTTGAGGGGGGGGGGTGTCATGTTTTTAGTATGAACTCCAAGAGTAAACAGCTTCTCAGTGTATAAGAGTTCAAAGAGGATGAGTGTTTAAATTTAAAAAGTTAAGGCAATATTTTTCAAACAAAATTACTTTGTATCATTCCTAATATAGAGAAAGGAGAATTTGGGTGTGTGTGTGTGTGTCCAATATTACCTGGGATTAATTATTTGTGTTGACAATACACCTCTCACCCCCTACAAAATATCACAATATTGAATTTAAAAATTTTTTTTTTTTTTCCTTTGTGGAACTTTCTGGAAATTTCAAACAAATTGAACAATGGCAGGAGAGAACAAATGTTCGCAAGTTGAACAAAGTCGATTGTTTTCCTTTAACACAGTCCAATGATAAATACAGAAATCAACAGAAATGTCTGGAGGGTAAATTCATTCATTTTATATAGAATTGTGTGTTTTAAATGCAATTGAAAAATAGAGATTTTATATTCATTGAAGAAAGGAGGTGGGGGGTGAGGTGGCAAAATAAAATTTTAAAAAGTGAAAAAAAATAAAAATAATTGTACACTAGGAGGTTTTCCCTCTTAAAATCTAATTAAAAAGTAAAGGAAAAAAAATACAAGAAAAAATTTAATTGGGAGGATTTACTTTTTTTTTTTTTTTTTTAATCTCCCATATTTTAGTTAGTGGTTGGGAAGGGAAAGGGAAAAAAAAAAAAAAAAAAAAAAAAAAAAAAGAATCCTATATATATATATATATATATATAAACTTTTTAAGTCACACATTCCATATCTTAGGCAATTTTCATACCTCCATGTATGCATATGCATTCAAACACCTTGCACTCGTCTTTTTGAATGATGTGTAATATGTATGTTTATATATCTGAATTGTTCTTTTAAAATATAAATACTCCAATTTCAAGACCTTTCTTGAAACATTCAACCAATAGCACACCTGTCCAGTTTTGTTTCAGAATGTGCAGTTTGCAGTACTTGTTTAATTACATGTATTATGTTCATTTCCGAAGTAACCATAAAAAATGTGTTGTGGGGAAAGAGTTGACATGGCAGAAATTGCAACAAGTCCTCAGTGTTTATTCTCTATGGCACCAAAGCTCAAAGCTTAACTGCATATATGTTAAATTGTGTGTGTGTGTGTGTGTGTGTGTGTGAAGAATTCTATAGGCAGGATATCCTATAGCTTCAGCCCCCCTCCCCGCACTGGTTTGGTCAGCATGTGCTAATACCACTTGCCCTATGTCCACCTTCCGCTACAGGACAACACGAAGAATTTATGGGCAGATCTGGAAAGAATGCCTCCGTCTTATCAAAACAACTCGTTATATATATTTAGCATATATAGATATATATAATTATTTTTTTTTTTTTTTAGAGTTTTTAAAATTTTATTTAAGACATCACCATGCCACATTTGAGATATATATATATATATATATATATATATATATATATATATTATATATATATATCTCTCTTTCGGGCTGCTTCAGATTTTACACACTTGTGGAACAGAGGTGTGTAAAAGAAGACAACATTACTTGCTCTTTGGTTAAGCAAGGTGCATTTTTCGGTTTTAGTCATGTGTTCTACTGAAAGTCCAACACCGTTTCTCAAGACTAAGAGACGGTATAACGTTGGCAGCAAGAACAGTTATTTGGAGATCTTTAATTTTTTTTTTGTTAATTTTTTTTTTTTTTAAGATTATTTCAAGACTTTTGTCAACCATTTATTTCAGGGTGTTAAGTTGGTGATGCAAGAGGACTGTTGTGATTACAAGGGAGTGAGGATGTCCTAAACTCAGGAAAACAAAAGTTCGTGAATTGAGTTTCTGGTCTGCAAGGGGATTTAAGATAGGAACTTTTTAGTGGGGTAGTTTCAGAGAGTTCCTTTTCAAAGTCTTGTAATTGTCTCATGAAGTTAAGGTTTGGAGAAATGACACTACGTCTGCTCTGGACATATTCAAAGGCACTGTCCAATGCCAGGCCATCACACTGCATCAAGTAAGCAAGGCAGACAGTTGCTGACCGGCTCACACCAGCATGGCAGTGGACCAACACACGACCACCAAGATGTTTTTCTTGATCTGTGAAAAAAAAAAAAAGAAACAAAAGAAAATTAGTTACAAAAAAACATTTTTGGTTAGAAAAATTAAATTTCATGCAACCTATTTGCTAGTACATAAATTCTTATTTCAAAATATGACCTTTTAATTCAGTCATGTAGATGTGTATAGGGGGGGGGATAATATATTTGTTCTAATATTCAAATGTAATATTTTAAGGTATACCCATGTTTAAATAGACACTTTGTGCATTTCAGAATCTTTATATATTTAAAAAAAAAAAAAAAAAAAAAAGAAAAAAAGTGACCACTAGCAGTGGTTGAACTTGCACTCCTTCTCTCTAGAGAGAAACTATTGTGTGATCCAACATGCTTTTGACCACTTGGCTACAGAGTTTCAAAGCTCAGCAAAGTTGCAATCTCTGCTGGGTGAAGGCCTTGCACATTTTCTTTAAGATTCTTAAATATACAGAGTGACAGACTCAATTCCCAAATCTTTAATGCCTTATATATATATATATATATATATATATATATATATATATATATATATATATATATATATATATATATATATATATATATACACACACACACACAATGATTCATTTCAAGCTAGTATTTCAAACTCTTGCCCATATTTGGTATTTTGCTACTTATCTTGTCAGTCCCCATTTACCCCATTCACTAAGTGGTCAGTCAAGTGCCGTTCTCTATTGAATGTCATAAGAAACAAGCACAGAAACTATTTTTCTTTCTTTCTCTCCTCTCACTCAAACCACAGCAAAACTGAAAACACTATATTCTTTAATATAATAGATTTTTTTCCAGCTTAAATAGACAAATGACACTTAAAAGCTCCAACTTCATAAAAAAAAAAAAAAAAAAAAAAAAAAAAAAAAGCATATTTTATACTGGAGTGCCATTTTTGAAGTTTAGGTTTTTAGCAATTTGAGATCCTTAGTAATAATGAACTTTAAATTGTCACTTTGCTGTGGAACTATTATCATCATCATCATCAAGATGAGTCTACTGTAGTGAGTAGAATGCTGGAGAAGGCCAAGTGTAACAAGTTTTACTGCTATTACTTGGACAGGAAAGACTCATGCAAAATGGGTCTATCCAAGTTCTGAGTATACCGTACAATAATTGTGGTATACCAGTGACAAGATTATCAAGATATCTACAAGATAAACTATATAGCCCTAGGATTTGTTTATTAAAGGCTTGGCTATTCAATTTAGCACAGTAGCATCATGTAATATTAAGAAAACTAAGTGAAACAGGATAAAATATAATTTTATGTTATGCTATACTTATAAAATAAAAGTACTTAATATCCAGCATGTATAACTATAAGCAGTGTGGACACTGAAGTCAACGCTGAGTGGCGACAGCCTGTTTCATGCTTGACTAAACTTTAAGACATGGCCTGAGAAATGCCTTCAAGCAAGAAGGCCTTATCACAGAGTGTTGATACAAATGACCACAGTTCTTATAATATTGAGAATAAAGAGATAGGTTTTACTTACCAATAAATGTGATGGCTTTCTGGAACCAGGAAGAGAGATCGGCATACTGAGAGTCTTCAACAGGAATGGTCAAATATCGGAACTCATCCGGAAAGTAGTTATTGCATGATCGAGAGACATTTATCACGGCTGTCATTCCCAGCTTTTTAAGAAGTTCCATGTTGCTAGCATGGCAATGGTCACCGAGAAAGACATGAGATAAAATTTCAACAGGATGGACCTAGAGAGGGAAGAAAATAAAAGAGAAAAAAAGTTTAGAAATAGGTTTTCAAAAATAAAATTATAGCAGAAAATCATTACATAACTCATCCCAAATCCGAAATAAAAATTAGAGTGATTAAAAATTTCCAATATGTCATTTATTTAATGTTCATAAAAAAATAAAAGATTAAAGAATGGTTTCAAAGAAAAAGCTTTATTCTTTCCCATCATCGTTGCTCATCTCCTACAGATAAATTATATTTGACAATAGTTTCATTTGTTTGGCTATTTAAAAATACATCTACACACTATTAACAGAAAACAGTAATTTTTAAACTAAGATCATAATTTTTTTCTGAAGACAATTTAGATTATATTGTACCCTTACTGACAGGATGACAAAGTTTCATGCCATAATTACATATTGGTGAGGGATATGTATATTTATTAATATATACCTAATAGCTTTGTTGTATTACATTGTACACTGTATGTACAATACATCTCAAACCACTACAGCTTAAATTTTAAACATATTGAGGGAAAATATTTAGAAAATTCTTCATTTTGGATTAAAAAATAATTAGTTTCAACTAAAAAAAAAAAAAGAAAAAAAAAATAGTTTGGAAATTCCTTAATGTTTTTACATACTGTTAATGTGTGTAAAAACAATAGAACATTGGAATTACCCAGAGATTAAATACCATTGTTGGAAAGTAGGTATTAGTTATAGTAGTGAGTAGAGAACAAAATGATGACAAAGTGCAAATTTCAAGGAGGGAAGGTTAAGTAATTGCGTTTGGCTCATAAGAGATAGTATTACAAAAAAAAAAAAAAAAAAAAAAAAAGGGTGGGGAGAAAAAAAAAAGATCCTTACCAAGTAATTCGTGCCTGATGGTTTGTCAAGGTAGCTGTCCAAAAGAATTCTTTCTGATATGCACAATCGAGGAAATATGTGTTTGAAGGACGTGTAACCACCTACAAGAAAAGAAAAAGAAAAAATCTCAATAATAGGGTCAGAATTATATTAGCACTGTACAGTGTTAATCATTTTAAAGGTCATTTCGTAAAAATGGTTCTGTCCAGTGTACATTTCGCTTGGATTAATGTCATTTAAATGGACAAAAAAGATTGTGATTCTAGGGTCTTTTAGGTTAGGCAAAATAAATGTAGAAATGTTTTAAGCTAAAAGGAAAATATATTAAAATTTTCACAACTATCTCCATTCCATAAGAACTGCAGGAGGGTCAGGTTTGGAGGCGATTGTGCTGGAAAGTCTTCTCCGGAGGGTGGGGGGATATGGTGGGGAAGAGAGAGTTATGAATGAAACGCGTTCGGATGTTACTACGACTATTGATAATGCCAACAATTCTTTCAGAATCCGCTTCAATAAATAAAGACATTCTATTTGATCAGATTTGGGTTTTTTAGAAGTTTTATTAGAAAAGACCATTATATTTGGACATTCTTCTCGGCAAGAGAATTATAGTTTTAATAATGAATTTATTTTTGAATGACGCATTTAATGTTTCAAGAGACATTTTTTTGTTATTTCTAGACAAGGAATAGAGGTTGAATGAAATGTGTCTTAACTCGCCTAACGCAAGAGATGGCGTGCTACGATTTTAAAAAGACCATTAAACCTTTCTTCATGTATGAAGCAAGAAATTACCGTACTTTGAGTTTTCTTTGCAAGAAGTGGGTATCGATTACTTGTAGAATGTAGCAACCACAAGACAAAATGAAAGAAGGTTTGCATAAGGAATTGACATAAATTGTATTTTCAAAATGGACATTGGTAGAGACAAAAGATAGTGAACGAACAATGAGACATCATTTTACAGACAGGAAGTTATGTTTCTGACATCTCCCCAAAATTAAGATTGGTGAAGATAATTATAATATTCTCGGGACCATAAATTATTTTTAACTGCTCAAAGAATAAACTAAATTGCTTTTTTTTCCAGTTGGGGAAAAAATTACTCATTGCTCCGCCATGTCTTAGAAAACGAAATTCATTTTAGTGTTCAGCAAGGCAAGGGCAACTTTAAAAGATCGTTAAGTAGTTCTTGATTAATTTCACATTTTATTTAATTAACCAAATCAATCAATAATACCGGTAAAGTATAACGCGTATATTTTATATTCTTTTTTATGCGTGGGTAAAACTGACAGCAATTTAAGAAAATTCAGAATTCAGATTTTATTTTCATATTTTAGTTACAAAGATTAATTTGAACAATAATTGTAGTGTAGAATACATCTCAGAACAGCATATAAGATAAATTACAAAATGAAACAATCAATTTTACCCGAAAAATCTTTTTTGGAATGGTTAATTTAGCAGATATAAAAAAAAAAAAAATCCTTAATCGTTTTATAAAAAATAAGGAATTGTAATCAATTTGCGTCACTGGTGGCTTTTTTCTTGCTTTCAGATGAAAACTTAGAAATTTTCCAACATATTTCAATTAAATTTTCCATTTCAAGGATTATAGTTAATATGGGAAAAAAGGCGTCAGTGTTTTTTAAACTGATGCCAGGAAGAATATGGATTGAAGAAAACAATCCTGATATTCAAACTAACATTACAGCCCCTGTGGAACTGCTAAGATCTCTACGAGTGTGTTCTAAGTAAAAAAAAAAAAAAATCCTAAACATTAACAGCCCAGTTTTAATAGGACTCCACATCAGTGATCTTATACCAGACTAGATTTTAATTTCAACTTTATTTGAAGTGAAAGGGTAAGAAGAGGGCCCGGTTTCTTTATATAGCAAAGAATAGTCTTTGAAGTGGGCGACTATTTGGCTGTATTTGCCCTTATTAAAATTTTTGAAATTGAAAATAACCCCACTTATTTGTACCTTTATCAGAGAGGCATTTAAAAAAAAAAAAAAAAAAAAAATCAACAGGATTTTTATGATATCGATTTCGATTTTTTATGATTAAATCAAGAATTTAAAAAAATAAAAATAAATTTCCAATTTGATTTCTTGACCTCAAGAAAAGCAATTTAAATTTGCTAGTAGTTTTGAGATAAGTAATTTAAAAAAAAATTGGAATTTGTATTCTAGATGGAGATTAGTAATTGATAAGATCTGGTACAAGGTTAAAACTGGTGAAATGAAACACTGAAAACGTTTAAAAAGAATAACCAGTTACTTTATTTTTAAGAATTTTAGAAATATCTCCATTATGCATTTGAACTCCATGCAATAACACAGGGTTCTATATGATTACCACGAACCCACCCACGACAATAATAGTTTTTACTTTTTCTTTTACCTAAAATAACCTACATAGCAAGTTTATATACTTTATGACTCAGTAAAACACATAAAAAGCTGTCGCAAAATGACAAACTGCTATTGGAATATTATCATCCGATATGAATTTAAAATAGAAAATAGTTCATGCTAGCGACATTTTTGTGCATATTTAAACTAGTTTTTTAATCAAAGTCTTCTTTTGACATTGAACGGGGGGTGGGGGCATACTCAACCCCGATCAAGTTTTTCTTTTAATTTCAGAAATATACAAGTTTAAAAAATCCTAGGATACTGGAAATAAAGGTAAAGTGTTTTTCGAAAAATAGGAATTTCGATAAATTTTAAAAAAACTGGACTTAAGAAGAAAAAAAAAATTACAAAAAGGGGGTTGGTCAATTTTTTAAAGTTAGCTATAACATGTACTCACTATCACCCCCCCCAAAAAAAATGTATATTTTGCCAATACAAGTGCAATATAAAAAAAAATAACCTTCAAGCTTAAAACCAGAAACAACTAGTTTGGAGGATAGGTACCCGCTCCCACCTAAGAAAACTATGTTGAGGACGCCTTAGTAAAATAACAATAACAACAACGGATTTAATAATATAATTTATCAAAGTACAAATATTCAAAAATACTGTAAAAGGACATATCTGACAAAGATTAGAACCTGAAACACCTCACTAAACAAATAAACAAACAAAAGTCTTTGCTGAATGAGCCATGTCTTTGCCCCTCCCCTCCTGTCATAGCAGCAGCCGTCTCCTTAATTTACGAATGCTAATTTCTCATTCATAACATTCTATTCGGGATACAAATGTATTTTATTATTATTATTATTATTATTATTATTATTTCTGTTAATATTGCGAATTTGGGTTCTAAGATTACAGGAATTCCGTGGAGATGAAAAGCTTTTTTAGACTTTGAAAGGCTTTCTTTGGTAATGAAAGGGTTCATTTGCGGAAGGAGTTTCAATGAACCAACTACTAAGCTGACCACCCACTTTATACCCGACGACAAAGTAAAATCAGGGTAGTTTAAGACTATACAAATAAATCCATGCTTTTATTTTTTTTATAAACGATTATTTAGATGTTCTAAATAAAATCTTTTAAAAAGCTCAATGAAAAAGGGGAAGTGATGAATTTTGACGTTAAAGTCTCGTCAGGTAAAGAGGGAGAATGATCTCCCACTTTTCGTCCATTGTTAAAATTACGAACTGCTGTGTAGTTGGCCAGTATTATTAAGTGTATATGGACTAAAATATCCTCATGTTTATATATTTTGAAATAAGTCGGGGTTCAGTTTTGCATATTGCATAAGTGCTAAAACGGCCACTCTTTTCTAGTCTTAGTGATTGACAAGAACTCGAATCCTTTTCAAATTATATTTACTTTTTTTAAAGTCATGTCAAAGAGAAATTATACAGAAAAACAAAAAATGTAGTTATTTTATATATTTATTTAACATAAAATATATTCATTTTATGAGCATCCATAAAATTGATTTTTTTTTTCAACAACCGCGAAAGTAGGTACTGTCAAATCCCAAAGAGAATCTGTATACAATAAACAATCACACATAAAAGAGGAATGCTAAATTAACGTTTATCAAGTGTGATCAGTGACAAGAGCGGACTGGCCTAGAAAACAAAGTGCGTAGGCGGAAAAAAAAGAAGCTTTGCACGAGAGAGGGTAAGAAGAAGACTTGTAAGGAGAACAAGCTGGCAATGTCGAAGTGAATCCAAAATAAGGTCAGTGACCGAAATATTAGGCATTTAAAAGGCAAACAACAAACATCTGCATTTAAAAAATCCTATATTAAACCTCAAAATGCCTTGCCAAGAATATTTTTCTTAAAAACAATATTTTCGTAAAAAAACAAAAAACAAAAAAAAGCAAAAACGGAAATACTATCGAAACAATTTATTTTAAAAAAGGTTTTACCGTACGTTCTGTTCAATTTATTGAAGAAGGCCAAAGAATTCAACAGCCAAAATGTGAAATTTTTTAAAGATAAAATAGAATTAGTTCGAAAAACTGCAGTAATGCAATAAAATCATTAAATATTTATTTAAAAATTACTTATTCAAAAATCAAAATTCATTATTTAAGGAAGTATTGTTACTGGAACAAAGTATAGTAAACAAAAATTTATAGGAACGGTATCAATGATTTTTACGCGTGCAAAAGAGAAATATAGCAAAAACTAAAAAAAGGTATCAAAATCAATTATATGTCAAGAATGTCAGGGAGGGAATATTTTTTTTCTAAAAAGTGATGGGTACGCAATGATAACATGCAATAATATATAGAAATGAAATGCTAAACAAGTCAAAGAAGCAAGGAATAGATCCTATTAAAAAGAAAAAAAGCTAAATTTATATGATGAAGCATGCCTTTTAAAATTTGAAATCAGAAACGCAAAGTATGACACAGGTAGCAATAAGTGAAGAAAGTCATCGGATTCAGATGAATGGTGGAGAAAGTGAAGTTAGTGTTACCCAGTTCTGAAGTACTGAGAAATATTTTAAGAAAAAAACAAAAAAGGGCAACCTTACAATTCTTTATTATTGAAAAAAACAAATAAATTGCAACAGGCTTTAGTTTTTAATTAATACAAGAGCCAATATAATTCAAACATGAATGTAAATTTTAGAGAAAATAAAACTGCGAGGTTTATTAAAATAAAGCTAACAGTAGTTACGCCGTACGGATTCCTCAAATAAGGAAACTTCATCCCACTGAAAAGGTAAATTCATTGAATCGCTAAAGTAAACATTTTAATTTACGTTTAATTATAATAGAAAAAGTTCAAATTCATCAATTGTTGTAATTAAATTTTAGTATTCTGAAGTGGAAAAATAAAAATGATCAATAATGTCTTTTATTAAGTTTATTGTAGGTGGAGAAGGTTGTAAGGCTACATGAATATGATGTAATGTTTCAAATTTTTAAGTGGAGGTGGCATACAAGGCAATCTAGATAGTATCAACCCCAAAGCCCTACTCTACCTACTCCTACGTGAATTTCATTTAGAGAGGGAGAAGGGGAGATAGTTGTAGCAAACAGAGGGGGAAGAGGAGAAATGCAAATAAACAGTGAGGGAAGAGGTCGGGGGAAGTGGAAAGCTGATGGAAAAATGTTGAGGAATAATGAATGGAGGGAGGCTTAATTCAGCTTTTGTGTTTTTAGACGAAATCTAGCACAAATAAATAATCTTGCTATTTATAGAAAATATATATCATAAATATTATATATATTTTCCTATGTAATAAAAATTACAATTAGGTCACTACAAAATATTGAAAAATATATCTACCAATGGTTTAATTTTTTTTTTTTTAATTTAATGTGAACAATTAAAATCTGGAATTTTACAACCTACATTTAAACTAAAGAGGTCAGCTTAAAAGATGACTAACTAAAGGCGTTTTTTTTTTTTATTTTAATGTGCAAAATGAGAACACAGCAGTTTTAAGATAAAGAGACAAGGTAAATAAATATTTAGAAAAAAAATATGCAAAAAAGAAAACAATTTCATACCTCGGAATCTAAAATCGGAGATGAAATTTCCGAGGAATTGGCGTTTTGGTTTTCAATATTCAGAAATCTCAATCATTAATCAATATTTGATATATTCTGACTTCAAAGTTAGAGTTTAAAAATAAAGCTAATAATGCTAATTTATTAAGTTAAAGACTTTAATAATATGTAATTAAAAATTAAATAAAAAAACAAAAACAAAACAAGTGCCCTTATTTATTTAAGACTAAAATTCTACAGTCGCATTGTTCGATCTCTAATCTTTATTCAAAGACAAACTCATCACCTAATTTCATTCATACTGTAATAATCTTTAAAAACATGAATCAATAAATCGACCAAATCTCTTAAATAGGCAAAAAAAGATTTTATTTAAGTTGAAATTTAAAACCAAAATGTAGTTTTATGAAGGATACAAAACACAAATGTAGTTGCGAGTGGAGTTTGTGTAATACACTATAAATAGAAACTGAGATCGGTGTCGACATCAGGAGGTGGAGACTGAGTAGCTTAGTAGATTTGATGCTCTAGGGTAATAACGAGGAACAGACACGGAAAAATAGTCTGTTTACATATGAACATTGAGTTAAGAAATTTAATACATTTTAGATTAAGTATAAAAGAAATAAACAGGTGCTACTTAAAGAACAGAATTGGATTTGGTTTCCAAATTAAAATGTAAGCCAACAATAACGTGCGATCATTAAGTTTGTTTAGCCTTTTTTAACGTTAAGGTAAGAATTTATATTTTTCAGTTACTGTCTGGAAATTTAACTTAAGATCTGAAAACCTCAAACCAACACGAAATGATAACTGCTTTGGCAAATTTGTATTTATTTATCCAGACCAGGAACACATATGCATTATTTATAGAGGAGGTTGAAAGATATTGAAACAAATAAAATACATAAGAGAGCCTAGTGAGAAATTAAGAGACAAATTATGCAAATAAGAAAAGCAAATAAAAAAAAGGGATCTTTTTTTAATTTTGATCAGACTGTTTTTGTGCAAGAATTTAAAAAGTGCGCTGATCTATAGAAGCAGATTAAAAAAAAAAAAAAAAAGAGATTATTAATCATGCTTACCACTTAGATAAAATACTGCCACATTTTCGATTTGTTGATTTAAACTCTTAAAGACTAAATAGAGATTGGAGTCCTTAGCAGCATCAGCCAAAACGTTCGTATCTTGATCATAGAGAATGACCGACTCGTATTGACCACTGGTCAGTTGGAGACGCCGTGATTCGTCAGGAACAATATTTTCCAATGAGATAAATCCCCCAGAACGTCGTTTTAAGATAGGTGGACAATGGATGTTTTGTGCGGTCATTATATGGCCTTCGTTGAAGTGTAAAAACGGACGGCAATCCAGTACCAAAGACGCACTGTCGCGAGTTGTAATCATTTCGGAAAGATCCCTGGGCGAGACTGGAACAGCAGAATCCATTTTTTTTTGGTAAATTTGATGGTTTTTCAGATATATATATATATATATATATATATATGTGTGTGTGTATAATGCCACAATTATTAAATGATAGGAGAGTGCGTGAAATTTAGAATGATTTCTTTAAAGTAAATTTTCGTTCTTTTTTTTTTTAAATTAAAAAATTATTTTAAAAGGTAATGTTATAAGATAGCGATGTGTAAAAAAAATGCCCCCCTCTATTTTCTTTTTTTTTTGTTAAATTAAAAAAAGAAAAAGAAAGAGGCAATGGCTTGGCTATATAACGTTAGGCGAGAGAAGCTTAAATCGCAACTGTATTCGCTCTCTTTACACTGTGAAATAATAAAAGCAATCTTTCCGACGTGTGCTTTATATATCTACAGGAGGCTGCAGGTTTAGGGTTGGCTTTCCTCTCTGTGTACGTGTGTGCGAAAGAGAAAGCGTGTCGATAAGCAGATATTTGAGAGAGGGGGGGGGAAGGGCACCAACTTGTCTTCCTGTTTCTCGCCTTCTTTATCTACTTCTTTCTCTTTTTTTTCCCGCTCGAGTGGATAGGTTTTTTTTTTCCTTCCTGGTTGGTGTGCCTAAGTTAAATGAGACTAAGGAATGTTAGAGGGGAGCTGAAGAAGTCACACACTTTTACACTGCATCTGGGCATTTAGATACGTATGTCTTTATGAGGTGGTGGGGGCATATAGGTAGACAGAAAGATAGATAAGTAGGGATAGAGAGAGAGGAAATAGTAGTTGTAGGAGCCAGCAAAAGAGATGATGTGAAGTATGTCTGTGAATGACGATAAAGATTGTAGAGAAGTTTGTGAATGAGTTCAAGAGAGGAAGAGACGGAAGCGGGAGTGAAATAAAGAAACACACAGATATACATTTTTATTAATAAAAGAAAGATTATAAGAAATATATTTCGTTTACTTTTTATATGGGATGAGCTATAGTCCCGAAAAGAAAAAAAAATAACTACACAGTGAGAATAAGAGGTAGAAGACATTAACTATTTTTCTTCTTTTTATTTTTAAGAGAAAAGAAATTGTGAAAGAAAGAGTATAAGCGGGCTATTCAGTTCGTCTAGATAAAATAGTATTGATTAAATTATGAAGGATTTAAAAATATCAAATGATGGTGAAAAAGAAATGAAAAAAAAATAATTAAGAAAATTTAAGAGAGTTTTCACTTTTCAGATTTTTTACCTTGTTTGAGGTACTGAATTAAGGTAAAAAAAAACAACACATACACAAATGTAAATAAATAAACAAAAAGCTCCTATACGTAAATAGTTATTTTTATTTAATGTTAGATTTAGTAATATATAAGTTTTCAGAATGGCGTGTAAAGTAATTTATTATTCAAGGAAATAAACGCGAGTCCAAGTAATACCCCCCAACCTCTATTAAATATCAATGAACCGCTTAACTTATTTCTTGTGTACATTAGAAACCTCCGCGTGAGACGAACAAAGATATAGTTCTAGATTGGTTTGTTAATTACATATTTTAAAGGTACACCTTTAAAGATTGAACCTAAATATTTAATTCACATCTTTTGTATGTTTATATATAAGAAAAAAAAAAAACATTTAAAAACGGATTATTTTATATTTTTTTTGTTGTTATTGAATATGGCAATGAAAAGCAGTACACGATGCTGATGATGTTATGTGTATACCTTGCTATATGTATCTACAACGACGATGATGATGATAGCGTAGGTAGTTTATTATTTAATTTTGTTTTTACTTTTTAGTATATGATAGAAACGGGAACGAACAAGGAAAGAGAAAAAAGATTATCAAAAAAGAAAAACACTTACAAAATACATTAAATTCATACGCACCAGATTCACTTTTTAGTTTAATGTTCTTTCTTTCTATTTCCTTTCTTTCTTTTTCCTTTCTTTCTTTCTCCTTTCTTTCTTTTTTTAATTCTACATTTCTATCAATGGGAGAGGAAGCTCCTTCTTAGCGCCGCCTACATGACGTCATGTGGGTGGGAACTGCCCATATATAGAAAGTCATTGAAGAAATATATCACATGATGTCATTATTTCTACGACTCTTTCCATCTGTGCAGTGCGAACAGCTATGTGCTGTGTCCGTGTGTTCGTTGTAAAAATGTCTGAAAATTATTAGGCGCATGACATGTACTTTGTTTTTCTTCCAGCTGCTCGACCCACCCACATCTCTCTCTCACTCGCTCGCTATACCTCCGACTTTACCAAAATTTCTAGCTTGGCTTTCATTTACCGACATTTTTCTCATCAGAAGCGTGTCAACATTACGACTACTACGGTTGCTGGCGATGATGTTGGTGTCTGTGTGTTTGCGTACAACACATACTGCCACACACACACACACACACACATCTGACTAATCGCTAAAACCATAATTACTACATGTCGACTGTGTTTATATATATATATATATATATATATATATATATATATTAACAAATATATATTCATATTAACAAAATATATATATATATATATAATATAATATATATATATATATATATATATATATATATATATATATATATATATATATATAAAAGGCTCAAACACTAATATTACATGGTTAATTTATTACATTGGAATCGTAATCACGATCAATTCAACTGACCTCTCTGTCCTGTACATTGAGTTCTACCTGGATTCTATCCTCTTGAGAAATTATATATATATATTAACATATTTTATTGTTATACGTTATTTATATAGACACAAATATTTAAGTAGATAATATGCATAACGTATAACAATAAACATTAAAATAATTATCGGACTTAGTCCATTTTTATATATATATATATATATATATATATATATATATATATATATATATATATATATATATATATTGTGGAGTCGTTTCTGCTCTATCAAGGATATTAATTCAGATTCCTGTTTAATCCAAGGGTAGTTTTTGGGTTTTTTTTAAATATATATACACATGACTATTTTTCATTCTCAAATATCGCGTTACAAAATAAAACACCATCAAATAGAATGATAATGCTTTGATAGTTATGGCCTTTGATCTGTGGGACGCTTATATAATTTTTTTTTGTGACTCTTATGAATCTTTTAGTTAAGAATTCTAATCGGCTCTAACCCTAACCTTTACCCTGACCCTAACCCTAACAATAACCTCTAATCGGCCCTATTTAAAATAACAAAAGATCGTTTGCTTTATTTGAACCCTTCTTATTTCATATATCATCTTTTACGACGTCGGTAATTATGGCTCTCCACATTTCCCGTTTTTTTGTGGCTCTGATTCATTTACTGCCTATGTTTGTCTTTGTGGATCTTGTCCTGGCTTTCATACACTAAGTTGTCCAGTTAATGGAGCCAAGGATACACCGACTGTAGCGAGATAAAATCACCGTCAAAAGAGACTCCGAAATGCTTTCAGACACAGGTATAAACCCAACTATTTTTTACAATATACTCACGTATAAACTCTAACATGGTTTACCTACAAACTCAAGTATAAACCAAGATCAATGTTGACCTATAGACCCAAGTATTAACCCGACCAATGTAAATCTAGACACTCAAGTATAAACCAGTCAATGTTTACCTAATTGACTCAAGTATAAACCCGACAAATGTTTACGAATAAACAAAAGTATAAACAAGAGAAATGCTGACGTATAGACTCAAGTATTAACCCGAACAATGTTTACCTATCGACTTAAGTATAAATCCAAACAATACTTACTTATAGACCCAACTAGTGTTTACCTATAGACTAAACAATTATTCTAATCAATGTCTATCTATAGACTTAAGTATTAATCAAATCACTATTTACTTATAGACTCAAGTGTACACCCGACCAATGTTGACCTATATACTTAAGTATAAAGACGACCAGTGTTTACCTATAGACTCATGTATTAATCCAGTCGTTTTTACATATAGACTAATGTATTAACCCGACCAATGTTTACATATAGACTCAAATTTAAACCCTAACAATGTTTACCTAAAGACAGAAGTATTAACGCAACTAATGTCTACTTATAGACTGAAGTATTAACCCAAATAATGTTTACCTATAGACCTCACTATTAATCCAATCAAAGTTTGCCAATAGACTCAAGTATTAATCAATGTTTACCTATAGTCACAAGTATACACCTGACCAATGTTGACCTATAGACTCGAGTATTAATCCAATCAGTTTACCATTAGACTCAAGTATTAACACAACTAATGTTTACCTATAGACTCAAGTATTCATACAAAGTCAAGTATTCATCAACAAATGTTTACTTAGAGACTCAAGTATTAATCCAAACAATATTTACCTATAGAGTCAAGTATAAATCTGAACAATATTGACCTATGGACTCATATATTAATTCAATCAATGTTTACGTATAGACTCAAGCATTAACCCAACTAATGTTGTTCTATATGCTCAAGTATTAACCCAACTAATTTTTACCTAATGACTCAACTGTTAATCTAATCAATGTTTACCTATATACTCAAGTATTAAACAAAGCAATGTTTATCTATAAACTCAAATATAAACCCGACCAATGATAACCTATAGACACATGTATTACTCCAACCAATGTTTACCTATAGATTTAAGTATTAAATTAACTATAGACTCACGTATTAATCCAATCAATGTTTAGGTATAGTATAATGTATTAAACCAACCAAAATTTACCTATAGACTTAAGTATAAATCCTAACAATATTTACCTATTGACGCAAGTATTAACGCAATTAAAGTTTACCTATGGACTGAAGTATTAAACCAAGTAATGCTCACCTATAGACTCAAGCATAAACCCGACCAATGTTGACCTATAGATTTACGTATTAATCCAATCAATGTTTACCTATACACTAATGTATTAACCCGAACAATGTTTACCTATAGATTTAAGAATTAACCCAACTAATGTTTACCTATAGACTTAAGAATTAACCCAACTAATATTTACCTATAGACTCAAGTATTAATCCAATCAATGCTTACCTATAGACTCAAGTATTGTCGCAACTAATTATTACCTATAGACTCAAGTATTGTCGCAACTAATTATTACCTATAGACTCAAATATTAACCCAACGAATGTTGACCTATATACGCAAGTAAAAACCTAACCAATGTTTGCCTATTGATTTACGTATTAACCCGTCCAATGGCGACCTATAGACTTTACCATTAATCCAATCAATGTTTACTTATAGACTCAAGTATTAACCCAACTAATGTTTGCCTACAGACTCGAGTATTACTCCAATCAATGTTTGCCTATAGGCGCACGTATTAATCCAAACAATTTATAGATATATATACTCAAGTATAAACCCGACCAATGTTGACCGATAGAATCGTGTATTCATCCAATCAATGTTTACCTATAGCCTCAAGCATTAATAAAATCAATGGTTACCTATCGACTGAAGTATTAACCCAACTGAAGATTACCTACTCAAATCAATGTTTACCTATGGACTCAAGTATTAATCAAATCAATGTTTACCTATGGACTCAAGTATTAATCAAATCAATGCTTACCTATTGACTCAAGTATTAATCAAATGAATGCTTACCCATAAACTCAAGTATTAATTAAATCAATGTTTACCCATAGACTCAAGTATTCATCAAATCAATATTTGCCTATAGACTCAAGTATTAACCCAACCAATGTTTACCTAGAGATTCATGTATGAACCCATGAAACCTAATGTTTACTTGCAAACGTAAGTATAACAATATTTATCTATATACTTAAGTATAAACGCGAAATATATTCGACTGTAGACACAAGTATAGAAAAGTTTTCGACATGAAATGACTGAATCAGGGTTGATATGTCGTAAAATTCACCAAC